GGATATCTAGATGTTTACGCACAGAGGTTCGCGCACAAGCATTATGTGACATAGATACGTGATCCTGCTTGTGCGCGATTGCTTGTATCTAGGCCGCGACGCTGCTGCTGCGTACGGACAGTAAATATATATATAAAAAAAACACTAAATTAGGCTTTTTAATTATTAGTTCTAACTAACTACTTCTTTGTTTAGATAGAAGCATCTATAGACTAGCTAGATCTTGTGTGTAAAGATGCTTTAAACTAACTAGACTAATAACACTTTTATATAAAGCTTATTTTCTTTTATTTTATTTTTTTTATATTATACACACTTATTTTTCTTATTATAAGAATCTGTTACTGCTAGCACTATATAAAAAGAGAAAAGAGCTAGAGGATTATACAGCAAAGCTTAAAAAGTAAAAAATAAAAAATAAAAAAGCTATTTACATAGCGCAACTAGCTTATTCTAACGCACTATATTACTAAGGGCAAGTCTTAATAAATAAGGTAGAGTAAAGGTAGAACATAATTAAATAGACCTACACAGATAAAAGAGAGGTAACATATATAAAAGGTAACTTTTTAGATAAAAAGAAAAGTTGCTAGTGTCTGTACACAGCAGCAGTGTTATAGTCTAGATACAAGTAATTACACACAAGTAGAATTACATATTTATGTTATATAATGCTTATGTGTAAACCTTTGTGTGTAAATATTTAAATATCCCTCTTTTCCTTTGTATAGAGAAAAGATAAGAGTAATAAAACTAGAAACATATTACTCTTACCTTACCTACCTTATATGCTGTGCACACTGTACACCACTCTTACTCTTACTACTTAAGTGCTTATACTATAAGCAGCTAGCTGTCGGAGCCCATTTAACAGCACCATCATTACTAATTGGTGCAACGCTAATTATGCCATCCCTAGCCTCCCTATCCTGCCCGCTAATTGTCTTTGGCGCATTCCATGCCTGTCCATCATCCACACTTGTCCTCATAATACCATCCTGATCGCTTGCGGAATTCTCAGCCGAGTAGAAAATCTGCAACGTCCTGTCCTTCGCATACCGGATAAACGGCTCCCAGAGGCTGTTGACGCCGCTAGGCACGCGCTCGTCTACGGTGACTAGATATTTGAAGTTAATTCCGCCATCGTCGGAATACGAGATTGAGATTCGGAAATAGGTGTAGGTGCCGTCAGCATTGCGGTCATGGTTGCGGTAGGCGTATAGAACGCGGCCGGAGTTGAGGACGAGGGGGAAGCCGTTATTCATATCATGGGCTGCGCGTGGACCGCGGAACTATGTCACTTGTTACTGCCTTCACGTTCAGGTGGAAAGGGTAAGGTGAGTGAGAATTAGGGTGGATTTCACCCAGAGCTTTCCATGAGTTTCCTCCGTCCGTAGCACTTGGTGCCATCGGGATGATAATGCTCCCGGGGACTCTGAAATAAAATCCCCGGCTCACTTAAATCGGTCTTTCTATTTCCTTTGTTGGGAATTAAGGGGATATTCCTTCTCAGTTGCATTCGCAAATTTCCGCATTCTATTATGGCTATCAACCTTTTCTCTCTATTTCCTTCATTCAGAGTTCAAATGGGATGTGTTCAGAACAACTCAATTCTCGACGTAGTTACCCACAATTAAATCCACACCTTCTACTCAATTAATCCCAACTCCGTCACCGCCAAAAAAAAATTCAACTCCAACTACCTCGGAGGCGGAAACACAACAGCCGTCCAAGCCATCGGCAATCCCAAATCCTCCCCGTTCTCGGCCAACCTCGCGATGCTATTAATGCTGGTACGTGAGAAGAATCTCCCTAATCGGATAACGAAGAAAATAGAGAGCAGACACTGATAGAAGAACGCAGGTTACAGGGGTTAAATCTGGACAATGACTGGATCAAATCGAAGCATCACAAGTGTCGTCTCCCTACCGAATGCGATAGCCCAGGAAGAGGGAAACTACTCGGTAAGATACTCGATTACGGTAAGTCACCCAGGCATGGCAGACGAGTAGGCAGGAATGAGTAAAATAGTACTTTGCACACTCAGATCATCAATGAATTCTCAAGGTGATAGAGAACTGCATGATCGAAGCGAGGCCGAAGAAGGACGGACGTAATGTTCCGGGCTAGTGAATTGTGAAGCATTTGGCAATGACGGACTCATTATTGTCGAGGTATTGCATACTGTATTGATTAGAAGACCTGCAGGTGGAGTAGTACGGCCAGAAACCGCTCACGCATTAAAAGTCACTGTCACGTGAAAACGCGCGCCTATCATGCCGTCTAATCCGATTTGTTATAAACGATGAATGTTTTTATGGAAGGAAATTTAATATTTTTCCACTTGTTCAGGTTGAATCCTTGATATATTGAAAAGACAAAGACTTACTGTAACCTTTCAGGCACGAGTTATGAGAGGACTCATGTACTGTGGTCCGAGGGTCCGAGGGTCCGAGGAGCTAGGTGATTTATAAAGTATTGATGGACGACAAGCCCAAGGTTAATTGGGCAGCGTAGAGCCCTTCGGCTTACATTTACTTTCACAAGAAATTCTCAAGCTGACTCATCACCAGCCTAACCTAGAGGCGTTCCCATGTTCAACTCATATCAGTTTCTTCCCACCGCTCTCCGGTCTCACGACGAGTCTACATACCGCCTCTTTGGCCCTTCTTGCAGAACTCCTTTTATATGCAATTTACGCCTCACCCGCTAGCGATAGCTGAGTGCATTCCTTGATGTTGAGAATTTCAATCACCCTTGTAAGGGGAGCTCGGCTCGTGCTCTCCGGTGCTCTCAGCCCCTAATTACGGATCCGTAAATCTTCAGAGATTGCATCTTGTCTCGTCTCCTAGCGATTAATATGCATATCAGAAAACGCCCCGTTACATGTCCGGACCGATAGGTGCTGGCTGGCTCTGATTGGACGTTGTCGCAATGCGCCCCCTGGATCCTCGAACGAGCCGCAACTTGCTGTTCAGCGCTTACCGCTCTGCTGGAAATTTTCTCGCGCGACAAAGCGAAATACCGGCCTTGTCCGCTCAATCACTAGAGCACATAAGATCAACACAACTACAGAATGGTCGCAGCCTTAAATCATTCAGTCTTTGAGCCGCAATCATGAATGGCGAAGGGCGAAGAAATGGAGGGGCCGATCACTACCCGTATGCACGTCTTGAGGTTGGTGCATATTCTCCGGCACTGCATATGGAACAAGATGGTCTCTCACCCTGCCGCGTATCTCGGTCGTCGACCCCGGTGTCTTCTGTCAGTGGCGTTTCGCCTCTGCCATCTCTAAGAAGCCACGATGTCCAGAGTAACACCAGCCGAATGGAAGACTCCAAAACGGCGCAGGAGAAAAATTCTAGTAGGAGTCTAAGTTCCATATACACCTATAATTTTGTCGCTTACCATCCGAAGATCGAGTATATCTATCCAGTGGACCTCCAAGTGCAGACTGGTTGCCCTACAACCTTCGATGGTATCTGCTTCTAATTCCCGTTGCTTTCTCGCTAGCTCTCACCATGGCTGTTTCGGCCCTCAGCTGGTATTCCCAGACAAATTACGGCCTTGGCAAGGACGACGATTCGTCCATACTACTGTTTGGGTGGAGATTTATGCCTACTCTCGTCGCCGTTCTATATTGCCAGCTGACGGTAATGCTTTTTGAAGACGTTAAACGGACAGAGCCGTTTTCCCGAATGGCGAGACCTGGTGGATCTAGCGCACTATCCAGCATACTGCAAGGGCCGAGGGCTTGGTGGCATGCTGTTGTTGATGGTTTCTCCCCTAAGAAAATTGGTGGCCGGAGAAGCTGGCTCCTCGTGTGTTCCTCACTCATTTACATTATTGGATTCCTTGCGATCTCTCCGCTGTCCTCATCTCTCCTTACCTCTGAGGATGTCAGGGTCAAAAAGGCGACTGCTTTCAACCGGATAGTACCAACAGGGAGCGATCCAATTTCATTAGAACCGGACAGGGACACCTACTTCCGCACGATTGGTAACGTCCTTCACAGCACACCAACTTCTGCGTGGATCAGTAATTCATATTTCATCATGCCCTTTTGGCCATCTGAGTTCAAACTCCTCCCTCTTGGCCCATCTCTCGCATCGACTAATAGAAATTGGACAGCACCTACTACCATTATGACCACCGACTTTCAGTGTGAGCCAATGAAGTTCTTGGATACCGGGATGAATTCGAGAAATAGAACACTTATCCTTGGATCTGAAAACAACACCTATGCCGAGATCGATACGACTGATTCGCTTTGGTTTAGCATGGAGTCCTCTAGCGGCTGTAAATATAGCTTGGAATTGGATGTTTCCCAGAGTATGGTCCGATACGGAGGAGTCATATGGTCCAATCTGTCGACCCTTGTTGCCAATTTCATAGACGGAACGGACCAGAATAAATACCTGCAGACCAACATTTCAGCTGATTGCCTGGATAGAGAGCTTCTTTTGGTTACCACACCCTGGCTTAATGATAAAAGCAGAACTCTCGAATCTGCCTTTCCGCCTAACTTCACAGTCCATGGCGAACTCTGCTCCTCATACTACTATGCCGCACAACTACCGACTACTGCGGAGATTTTAACGCCTTCCTCCTCGAAAATAGTATTCAATCAAGAACAATACCTGAAGGTGAGGAAACCACTATCTGACGACCTCCTGGATGTGAAGAAGCTTCATGCGCTAGCAATGGACGATGACTGGGCGCAATACCTGACGGCACCAGACTCATCCCTGCGACCAGGACAATTTAATGGAGTCTCCTCCGTCCTCGGATTGTTGCACGACTTTGACGTGTGGGGTATGGTGCAGGCGAGAGATCTACCTAGTGAAGCAAGGAGCTTTAAACAGCGATTCATGGGAGAACTCCTCTATTCCTCCTTGCTACAGAGATCAATCGCGGAATCGCAAGTTCAAACCGCCCAAGGCCAATCGACCTTCATAGAGCGGCGGGTGGTCGTGATACTGGGGGTGGGCATTCTAATGGCCGCCTTCTTCTTCGTCTCGTTCTGTCTACTTGTTCTAGCCTTTTGGCTCTCAAGACTGCATCAGAGACCTCTCAATTTAGTCGTTGATCCGGCTACACCACTTGGAGTAGCGTCTCTTGTCGCTAGTCACCGCGATACGCTTACCTCCTTACATGCGCTGGATCAGGCCTCGAAGAAAGACCTACAGATGGCACTACACGACCGGAAGTATGCCACGTTCCCTAATGTGCTCACTGAATCAGGATACTGCGACGAAAATCTTGCCGGTAAGTCACCTTTTTATTCTAAAGTAAACTGTTTGGGATCCCTTACAAACAGTTGATATACTGAACCTCGCTGGACTGCTGGGGCCGCTTGTCGGGTCTTACTCATAGGTGAATCCAAGGGTGCTCGCTCCTAAAGGGGGAGATGCAATTGCACTCCAGGCCCGATTCTTTGCGGAAGTGCCTAATACACCCTGCTCGGGTCCGATCACAAATTGGAGCTCTATTCGGCTAACAATTCTTAGCCAGCGACAATTTCAAGTCAGCGACAAAGATAAGTTGGATACCACGAGTGCTCCATCTTCGAACCCTTTTGGTGCTTGTCTTCTACCTTATTAGCCTTACCGTTGGATTAGCCATCTTGAAACATTATGCGGACCTATCAAAGCTTTATCAAACTGCATTCGTGTACCAGGCTAGCTTCAGCGTCTTCAACAAGCGGTTATCGACCAGCGCGCCGTATTCCATTGTCCCAACGATATTTGCTGTGGCTATTGGACTTTGGTGGGACTCGTTAGATAAGACCTTCCGCACCCTACAACCATATATATCGTTATCGAAAAGATCACGGAGCATTGCTGAAGGCGCAGGGTTGTCGTACCAGTCTTCTTACTGGACCTGGGCTGCTGTTAAGGCTGCAAAAAATAAGCATTGGTTACTATTGATTCTCACAATCGGTAGTACGCTAAGCCAAGTGTGTAAGTGGTGATCTTGCCCCTAGAACAATTTTGAAAACGCTAATTTCTTTTGCTAGTTATTATCTCCATGTCCGCCCTATTCGAAAGAGAACCTGAAAACACGCTCATTCCTGGGGCTGCGTTCCGGACTATTGAGTTGCGGCAGGTCCCTCAGATCGATAACGTGCTTTTGGTTCCAGGATATCCAAAAGCCTTCGCCGCCCAGGTAATGTCCAAGGCCTATTCGGATCTAGCCACAAATTGGATCTACACTGCCACAATCCAACTGACCCTAGATGGGCCAGAACCAGCATGGAGTCGCCAAGGGTGGAGTTTTGTTCCGGTCGATATTTCTGCTTTGTCGAATATGACAACCAAGTCGCTTCAGCAGACTGTACACGGCCAGGATAATCCGAATGAGGCACTCATCTCCACGGCTAACGTCTCCCTTACCACTACTGCCATTCGAGGGCGCGTGGAGTGTAGTTGGGTACCAGATATTAGCAACAGCTCTTCCTGGCTGATGACCCAAGATCTTACTAACAAAACGATCTGGAAAGTGAGCTCAAATCCCACCAACCTTAAAACAGGATACGAACTTCCACGAGTGCTATTCCCTAATTCACCTTGGAATAGTTCCGCGCTTTCCCACCCAGTCGTGGCATCTTGTTGCACAAACCGAAGCAGCGACGAAATGCAGGACAGTGCTATTGGGTACTGGTCACCTAACCAAGGCGGAAGATTTCCATTCCCGTCTGAGACCTGGCCGATCAACTTTACATCAAAGTGGATTCTCGGTCCAGCACGGACGGATTATTACCAACTTTACGATAATGAGACCGGTCGCCCCGCCCATTTACTGTTCACAAAAGTTCCCGAGATTCAAGCCCTCAACTGTATTCCGATAATTGAAACCGCAGAGGCCGATATCGCAGTTGAGCAGAGTACCGGACATGTTTACGGTTATAAGATATTAGGAAACCCAGTTCCTGCTGAGCCAGCTTGGAGCGATCCTTTTACAATTAGGGCTAGCTCGTCCTTGAACGATACGTCGTTTCGCCATAATGTTACCACGAGGTGCGTCTTCTTGCTGAAATCTCCTAACACAGGGGAGTTACTCAGGGAGGGCGATTCATGAATCTGTCCTGACACTTGTTCTAGTTACGGCATTTTATTCGTCAACACTCTCCTCGGTGCTGCTCAAATCACTCAACTCTCCGGCTCAGGTCAGACGTCCAAGTTTCCATTTGAAGACGAATACGTACAACTTGAGGACAAAGCCTTCAACGTCCGAGATGAGACTAAGGGTCTTAATCTCGACTTTATGAGCTACGCGATGTACACCATGGCAAGCAAGGACCCAAAGGCCCTCCTCGACTATGACACACTACTCAATTTAACCCAGATGACGTTCTCTACGTACTTTCAACACTACGTTAGCAGCAACTACTCCCTAGACGATGGAGGGTGGGTTTATCAGAAGATTGGGGAGCAGCCCAAAGATCTCCAGCCTCCACGACTGAATAATGGAAGCACGGGCTCTCCCAGCGTCTATCCTTCTCTGAACACGAATCGGACGGCTGCTGTAGTCGTTTCAAAGCGCATCGAAGTTCTACGAATGAATGCAGTCGCGACGTGGTTATCTATCGGAATCTTAATTTGGCTAACCTTGACAACTATCCTGATTGCTGCGCTTCAGCGAACGTACTTCAGCTCACTGATCCGCAACATAGAATCACTGGGAGACGTCTTGGTACTGATTGCAGGCAGCGAAAACCTATTGAGATTAGTACGAGATAATGATTTCGAGCAATTAAGGAAGAATCAGGATGTGCTGACTCGACTTGGTTGGTTCCAGGGTGTTGATGGTAAAAAGAGATGGGGCTTGGAGGTTGTGGGTGGCGACCGCCCGGTTACTTGGATTAATTGGTATGAGGATGAGCAGAACGTGCTTAGAACGGGCACGGCGAAGTCGAGTAGGTTTGAGAGCCTAAGGAGTCGGACGAAGACTTTTGGCCTTTAAGAGGTCTGGCAAGATAGGCCTCTTTTTACCATCTTCGTAAGCTCATATTCGGGTCTCGGTGCCGGATTTACTAGATCGCGCTCCATTTAACGTGTTCCACCACTCATCCGCCCGCGCCAAAAACCACCGAAAATAACGAAAATTGAACCTTCAGATCTCAACAACGGCTGAGCAAAACGTCCTAGAGGTCTAGAAGTAGCTTCTTATATGTCTTTTAAAACTTGTATTAGCACTACAGACTCTAAATATTAACTATTGCTAAGTTATTTAGTTCCCCCAATTTTAGGGGCTAATACAGGAGTAAAATCTTGTATCTTAGGAGTTTCTCGATATGACTTTTCATTTTGTCTATAATATACTCTAGGAGAATAGAAAAGACGACATTAAAAATTAAGAAGTAATCTTTTAAGCCGTTATTGAGATCTGAATGTTCAATTTTCGTTTATTTCGGTGGATTTTGGCGTGGCAGGTGACTGGTGTGGCCAGATGAGTGATGAGCCCAACCGCCGCTGCGGCGTCCAAATGGGCATTTGGGTTCCTTGCATGCCAAGCATCCTGGCCGCATTTAGCGGAGTTATCGCTTCATATCGTATGTTCAACAGCGGATTTGAGATCCTGATCATGTCCGGCTTATTCATACAGTAGGTATGTGGGATTTAGCCTATACGAGATGATCTCGCAGGAAGCACAGGTACATTAGGGAAACACGAGGAGGGATCGAAGCTCGTCGTAATTCTACACGAATCTATCGACTCGCCCTTCTCCGGAATGGCTTCTAAAACAATTGTCCTCATCACCGGCGCCAATCGAGGTATTGGGTATACACTCGCCCAAACCCTTGCACGAGACTATGGATTCCACATTCTGCTTGGATCACGTAGTACCGCATCAGGAAGCACAGCTGTTGCAACGCTTCAAAACGAAGGTCTATCTGTTGAATCGCTTGCCATTGATCTCGAATTCAACGAATCCATAGAACGTGCAGCGAAAGAAGTAGAACGAAAGTACGGTAGACTCGACGTTCTCGTCAACAACGCCGCGATAGGAATCGATGACACCTTTACCGGCGACGTCAACGATATTCGCCGTCTCTACCAAGAAACCTTTAACACGAACCTCTTCGGCACGGCCACCGTGACTGGGGCTTTCATCCCGCTCCTTGAGAAATCCTACCTTCCAAGAATCGTGTTCTTGACGTCTAGCCTGGGCTCGTTAGCCGAACGCGCGAATTCGGAAAGTGCCTATCATGAAGTAGGCTGGGAGTCGTATCGGTGCAGTAAAGCGGCGCTTAATATGCTGTGTTTGAATTATTGGAAGAAGTATGAATGCAAACCAAAGTGGAAGATTAATGCGGCGTGTCCGGGGTTTGTAGTTACGAAGTTGAACAAAGGAGGCGGCGTTATTTCGACGGAGGAGGCGATGCCGAATTTGGTGAGGTTGTGTACGCTTGGGATGGATGGGGAGTCGGGGACCTTTACGAATGCTAATGGGGTTGTGAGGTGGTAAGATGGGGATTGGTAATCATTAGAATGTAACGTTCTTTGAGAGTTTACACATACGAAGGAGGATGAGGTACTAGATAGGTCAAACTAAGCAAAGAGCACCCACCGTATAGTGCGGGGCCTCTTTGGTGGTGCCTGGACTCAAACGCAAATAAGAGATTTTCCATGAGAATTAGCGTGTCTAGATACTGGGGCATAGGGTCATGGGTAGTTGTCCCCATTATTTTGCACATGTAGCTCCCTGACCTTCCTCGATCACTTTGGTTCCTGCGGCACCACGGCACCTGCCTGGCAAGCATGAACACAGCGGACTTTACATGGCACCCCAGCACTCCTCTTATTTTCACCACTCCCGTACGAATCTAGATATTTACACAAAGATGAATGAGTTCAAATGTCCAAGCTAGAGGGTAGCCCTTCAGCTCTCAACGCCAGATCATAAATTGCCATCGAAATCCAATACTCTCCCAAAGACTCCCTTAACCTCTATTTCTCCACAAATGCCGCCCAATACCCTCACCCCCTTCCCCTACAGAATTACGCAAATATCTTTCCCTCGGCCCCAGCTCCACCAACCACCTCACCAACATGTCCCGCCACCTCGACCTCGGCGCCAACATAATTTCACTATACCTGAATATCTTGCCCCTCACCTCCACCAAAAGTCCTCAGCTAGAGTCACCCTAACCAGCCTCGTCACACTACTCTATCACGCAGCTGGACACTCTGACATACAGCTCGCCAAATTGCTCCTAAACCAAGGCGCAGAAGTGGATAGGAGAAATTAAACGAAGAAAGCGCATCCGCGGGCTAATTTCGAAAGGCTGAAATGGTCGGTTTATGAGACATTGAGTGTGTTGGATGGAATGAGGGAGAGTGTGCGTGAGGAGATTAGAGGACTTAAGCCCTGCGGGTGAATTTTTTGGGATCGAAAGGAAGGTAGAGGGGAATAAGAGGAAGGAGGTAGAAAGGAGGTTTGAGCCGTGGAAAGCTCCGGATGAGGGATAGAGAGATCATTCAGGTATGGACGAGTTAAAGAGAAGTCACCGACCGGAGAACAAGGGGAGAACGAGGGGAGAGAGTAGAAATATGGCTAGGGGAGTGGAAGAGGTTAAGGTTCGGCAGCAGAGATATAATCTTCGAGAGAGAAAGTGAACGGATCGCCGAAATAATCCCTGAAGAATAGGAAGGGCAAGAAATATTTCCGTGTGTAGAAGCTGCAAAGGATTGTTATTTCATCCAATCTCGTTATTTAGTGCCTTCTCCCACCTCTATCTAAGCCCTTCACGTCAGACCTTCAATTCACGATTCCCTAACACCCCCACCTCCCTTATTGCCCTCCACCAACCGGCCTGCTAATAACCCCCCCCTCCCCCGTAACATCCACCTTCACATCCCGGACCTTCGCACCCACGACCTTCTTCCGATGGCCCCGATGCTTCACACCGACATCCCCACTCTTAACTTCTCCAGTGGGTTGGACAGCATGATGTCTATGCGGCTGCTTCTTCCCATGCGTATACCACACCCAGTCAGAATCCCAATCGTCCTCATCATCGCATTCACAGTCTTCATCTTCGTCGGGATCGCATTCTTCCCATGGCGAGTCGGGTTCGTCTGTTGGTTTGGGATGGGGAGGGAGGGAGATTGTGGGTGACGGGAGGGTCCTTAGGGTTGTGGGATTTGGGTGTGTGGTGGTAGGCTTACTTGAAGGAGGCGGAGGAGGGGTTGGCTTAGAAGAAGGAGGCGAGATTGAAGTAGGCTTGTTTGAAGGTGATGGAGGTGTAGGTAGCTGAGTTGAGTTGAAAGAAGGGATGGAGAATGTTGGGATTGGCCGACTTGTAGGCCTGAAAGAAGGGATTGAGAAAGTTGGTACTTGTCGCGTCGTGGGCTTGAATGACGGTATCGAGAAGTTCAGCGAAGGGATTGGTGGAGCAGCAAAACTTGCCGACCTGGAAGTGGGAATTGAGAAAGATGAAATGGGTGGGCTTGTAGGGCTGAACGACGGGATAGAAAAGTTCCGCGAAGGAGCAGTGAAACTTGTTGACCGGAATGTAGGGATTGAGAATGTCGGGGTCGGTCGACTTGTGAGCCCGAATGATGGAACAGAGAAGTTCAGCGAAGGGATTGGAGGAATATCTAAACTTGTCGCCTTAAACGTAGGGATTGAGAAGGTCGGAACTGGTCGAAGTGTAGGCTTAAAAGATGGAATGGAAAGGTTGAGGGAAGGAATGGGCAGTAGTGGCGGGGTTGGCTTGACCGAAGGGATAGAACCCGTAGACAATAGGACAGACGGACGAATCGACGACACAGAAGCTGGAAGTGATAAGTTCACTGTAGGAAACGGGGCAGACACCGACGGTAGAGCTAGCAAGGTCGAAGATCCAGCCGATGGAAACCTAGTTGGAATAGACAGGACAATTGGCCGTGACACGTTCGAGGGCAGGATAGGTAACGGGATCGAAGGCAGTACCGCCGTAGAAAGAGGAAGTGAAGGTCGTAAGGAAGGGACCGAGACGTTTAGGGTAGGGAAAGGCACTGATACTGACGGCAGCCGTACCGACGTCGAGAGCCCAGCTGAGGGCGATAGAGATGGCGTTGCGATAGACGTCGATACATTTACCATTGTAACGGGGACTGAAACTGGCAATGAGGGGACTGAAATAAGCCTTGTGATACTAGCTGATTGAGCCATTGAGGGAAGTGCAACGGATCGGGAGGCTAAAGTAATTGATACGTTTAGCGACGGAACCAGAATTGACGCAGACGTAGAAAGCCCGGGAAATGCTGAAGACGGATCCATGATGGTAATGGTGACGGTAGGTTCAGGGATTATGGATGGCTTTGACAATGAAGATACGGATGGAAGCGAAACGGGGACAGAAAGTCCAAGAGACGGTGAACGGAAAGACACGGCAGGAATGCCCAGGGTTTGGCCTCCTGGTCCTATCGGAAATCTGGCAGAGAAGGACAGTGCCGCCAATGGGTTGGGTGGGAGACCACCAGAAGGCTGGGGAATGCCAGAGGGGAGTGCACACGTTGTATCCGCCCCCTCCGTAATGCTAAAGAGACCGAGAGCAAAGATAGACGCCGCGAGAAGCATGGTGGATTCACCAGACTGAACTTAGCAGTCACGATAAGTGCGAGATTTGTCCTTGACTCTAACTAAGTAAAAAAACCTACATCGCCGGCTCATCGTCGCTTTATAGACGCACGCCAGCCTCTGATACCAGCAAGAATGAAAAAGACGTAAATTAAGGTGGTTGAGGGGTAAAGACTCCCAGCTTCCAGGAAACCAGGATTTGCAATGGATCGGACGCATGAGGCTTGCGTGTAGAAACGGCAGAATGGGTAACGTGAATAGCATGCGATTTTCTTGAAATGCCATTGGCGCCATAGCGGAGACTTAATGTAAGAACCCTTTATGAGGCTGCAAGTTATATAATGGTTTCAGCAGAATAAAACTGATATCGGCATGATTCCTGAAGTCCATGGCAGCCTAGATGTGGAGATCAGCGTAGGTATCAAGATGTGAAATAAGACGAATAGATAAATAATTACACTTGCATAGTACCCTGGAGCTGTCGCTTTCTCTTCCTCATCACAATGTTACCCTTCGTGGCTGGAAATGCATTCAACATCGCACGATGTCAGTGTGAACATCTCAATAGAAACTGCATCAAGACGACAAGCCTCGAAGCTGACGTTAGAGGCCAAGCAAATAACTCCAACGTGCTCCCCTCGCTAAAGAATAAATCTCCGACGATCATTGCTTGATGAGGCTTATCCATTCGCCCTGTATGATTAGCCGGACAAAAAGTATGCAGGGCCAAGGCCATGTAAACACATCGTAGATTAAGGTACCTATGTAGATACTTGTCGATAATCAAGGCTCTGGAAACATCAACCAGAGTAACAGAAGAATTGCCGGTCCCCAGGTTCTGGTACGGAGTTGTTGGTCCATCAGTTGGAAGGGGCGTTTGGTAAAACTCCGGCGTTACCAGCCCGAAATGTAGACAGTGCCTGAGATGAGAGCCAAACCGTAGTGCGAAGGCATGGAAATGTATCTGGATATTGGAGTGGTAATATTATGATCTAGGGAGAAGAGCGTTGCCTAAATCGTGTAACGATTTGAGCTAAAACTTACGCAATTTCGAGGGAAGTATTTTGAATGTCGAATTCATATAAGAATCGTGGGAATATGAAGCGTAGTAAGTAAGCTAAGGTACGCCATATGACACCCTGTGGCACCGGGCGATTTCTGGCCGACTCGCACATGGAACAGTGCGGTAAATTTGTGCGAGTAGTTAGTCTTGGTAGCCTTGAAAACAGAAGAGCCTCTCGGTGAATCAGAAAACGTATCGCCACATATGCGTAGTACTGTGGTAGAACCACATCAACACGAATAAGCCACTATAGTACTCAGCACATTCCACACTACTGAAAGCCCAAAATGTTACTAGCATTCGTAGAACGCTGATTTGAATTTGTCACAATCTCGTCGGTTGAGCGACGCAGGATGAATTAAACATGCGTGTCTGTATGATACCCTGCATGGATATGTGTATGTACTTACATCCATTACCGCTTCGGTCTCCAAAGAGCAAAACGGAACGTATACGGAATCAGAATCGCGTTTAGGTGATGTAGCGATACTCCGGGTGCCTGTAACCCAAGTCTCTGATTTGGTCTTCGGTTAATCCGTTGAGGCGGTGATCTCTCTTGCCCTTATCTCGCTGGCTGTTCTCCCAGGTACAGTACGCGATTCCAAGGCAAGCTAATACCAACACACCCATTTGGCCGCCGAGATTGATGCTATGGCCGGTGTGATATTTGGGCGCATCTTTAGACACGTAGGTCCTACAACCATGTTAGCGCATGTCGCAGAAGTAGCCCGCGCAGACATTCGTTCCGCCGGTAGAGTGAGAGAGAGAGTAGACAACATACCACGTCGCCACAATACCTCCAGCGGTTCCGAGTGTGACGATATACGCACTTGAAACGGCTCGAACGGCAGGCCCTGCAGCGTTGTTCATACCCCAGGACAGAAATCCAGGGCCACCAGGAAAAGCTCCAAGAGTAATGAAGAATATGCCCATGTATCGAATGTTCGGATCTGTGGCCCAGCGCATAATGGCAAATCCCGTGATGGCTAGGAGAGTAAATCCTGCGAGATAGATTCCACGTCTTTTCGTCTTATCAGAGACAAATGCTATGAAGATGGCAACGAGACAGGCGCAAACGTAAGGAGGTACTGAATACAGTTGGGCCTTGGTAGCTGTCCAGCCGAGATCATTGAGGATTGTTGGCTGTCAAGGAATTAGTAAGATGATGACATTTCGTCCGCATACTGTTCGGAACCCGGTGTGGGCAAAAAGAGAGTCCTACCATGAAGAGCGAAATTCCTTGAACGGTGATATTGATGAGGAAGAACCCAAGCGCGCAAATGTAGTTGTTTATGTTGAAGAACGCTCTCTTTATGTGGTGGAATTCGATCTTTTCGTTTTCCTCGGCGCCACCCTTCACCATCAACCGTGCATGAGCAATCTTCCGTTGTCGTTCAGTTAAGAACCATGTCTTGCCTGGGGTAGTGGGCATGAGGATTGGAGCAGCCAGGCCAGCGATGATGGTGATAAGGCCTTCGAAAAAGAATATGTTACGCCAGGTGTGGATGGGTGTGTGCTCGGTGCCCCATTTGGGAATGCGCGCGAGCCTAGACATCGTTAGAGCTAGAGGGGTGATCAATAAGAAGTATTACTTACACAGTAGCAAGAAGGCCTCCAAATGCGCCAGCTAGAGATGCCGCAGAGACGTAGATACCCACTCGAAGGTAGAGCTCTTCACGCTTGTAAAAGCAAGTGATAAAGAACGCGATACCACTACGGAGATTGGTTAGATCGATGAAAGGTGGAATGGGGCAGAATGACCAACGGCATCACACCGCCTTCGAAGATTCCCAAGAAGGCCCGAGCTACCAATAGCTGATGGAAGTCCCTGACAAATGCTGTGCACATCGACACAAGACCAAAGCCAACGACCAGGAGTGGAATGTAGAAGCGTGGGCCAACAACTTTCAGCACAATGTTGCTAGGTACTTCGACGAACATGTATATGATGTAAAAGATGGACGTGACCCAGTTGAATCGGACACCGACGAGATGCAGGTCCTTTGCCATTCCTTGAATGCGGGCATTGCCAACGTTGGCCCTAGAAATTGTGTTAGAATATATTCGGTGAAAGGGAAAAGATCAAGCCTACCGGTCAAGAAAGCAAAGCAAGTAGAGGAATGTAGTGAGCGGGATGATGTAGGAGTCCAACTTTCGCCGAACCGCCCGTTCTTCCTCCTCCGTCCATGTAAACTCCTCTGAGGATTCGCTGCCGAAGCCCATCGTTTCACCCAAGTTTTCTTCAACTTGAAACCATTCCAGTTAATTTCAAGACTTAATAGAGAGTGGACTACTTACACTGGGCCTTTTCATTCTTCTCCAGTTCCTTCGCCGATAGAGGATCCATGATTGATGCGGGGGATCAAAATAAGAGATAGTGTAAAATAATGTTACGAGATGTCCTGGATCTGGCCAAAAATCTTCGACAATTTCTTACCCCACGCTTGTGTGTTGGCGAACCTGGAGGGGGAAAATCTGGGGGCGTCTCCACATATAAGAACAAAATGGCCCCTCGTTACGAACTGCCTAACCAAGCCACTTCAACTCTCACAAGTGGCAATCGGTATTTGTACGAGGGTCGTGGAAACGAGGACCGGCAGTTGCACAAGAACCACCGAGAGTCTGGAGTCGGGCCATCTCTGCTTTTAAGTAGTCCGCTCCACCGCACAAAGTTGGCCTTTGATTGAACATGGGGTTTCGCCCGTGCCAATAAAATTTAACGAACCCAGACAGAATGTTTTGCAGACAGAAGGGGTCGGGCAAACGGTGTTGGCGTTTGGTTGGACGAATGCGGGGTTGGCTCTTGGCTGACATGCACCAGGCGCGGAGGACCTGCTTTTCTGGCAACGCCAGAACTTGGCGGAGCGGGACAAGACAAAAGGGCATCATCGTTGTGGAGCTTCGCCTTCGGTAGATAAATCGATGTTCTATGCGGCGGTGTGTCGATGATAAGGAAATGCTTGATCTCTCTTCAAAACTGCTTACGGTGGCCGTCAGAATCTCCTTTGCCACTGGGCGTTCCGGAATGATGGAGGGCGTAAAACAATATCAGACTTTTATCCATCCGTATTTAAGCAATCAATATGCACCGCACGGACGGTAAGCAGTGGAGGCCCCAGGACATGGAGGAAGCAGCGCGTGGGAGTTCGCGTATCTGCGCGCCACTCTTGAGGGTGCAGCTGCCACCGTTTCGCGGAGGGTGGATAGCATTCACCAACATTCACACGCCTCGAGACAGTGCACACGCGCGAGATTTAGTGAAGGCTTTGGGTTATGGGTACTTCGGCCGCGTCGGATACTGACCTGACCTTGGCATTACTGAGTCACGATGCGGCTTGGATCCGAGGCTCTGCTACGACACGTTGACGGCAAGCATGGTCCTCCCTTGGGGCCGCATTCTGCGTCGAGGAAATTTTAGCAGGCTATCAGGTATGTGATGATAGTGGTGCGAGTATCAGCAAAATGTGAGGTTAGAATAGCCTTTGGGTAGTCTACGTTAGGAACCGGATGAGGGAAGAGCGATCCAGCTATCCTCGATTCGACCTTCAACCTTCTGCCCACCTCGGCCTATCTTTCGCACACTCGGAACTGAAAGATTTTTGGAATGCTCCTAACGTGCTTCTTTCTTTTATCTCGATCAACTGCCGTACCCGATTTGCTTCCGACGAAAAGCTGTCTCGCATATGGTTGTTCCCCTTGTGAGACATGTGGATTCGTGGAGACACTGGGAGGATCAAATTGTGGGGAGGCTAGGGATGGTGGGGAAGTCAACTGAAGTCGAATGACGGTCTGAAAAGCGTGTCGCGGCGCTCGGTCCGATGAATTGAGTTCCCGCCAACCAACACTCCCCTCTTCAGTTGTTTTCGAAGACTTCTGCCCTACTTTTCCAGAGCAGCCAACGCTGTTGACTACCAAAGGCCTCTTCCAGAGCACCCCACAGTAGAATTTATTCTCCATTTCCACCATACCAATGTTCCTGGGAAACCGTGCTCTGTAATGGGTTGCTTCCAGTCCTGAAACCTGAGGATGCATTCAGGACTAAATCGCGCCGACTTTGGGCCTTAAACATCCTGATAATCGAGGGTGCCCCACTTCGAAGTCTCCAACGTGCGTGGCATTTCTGCAGGGCTTGGGTGGGATGATGTCGCGTGCAAGGCTGGAATTTGTGGCGTAGGCTAGATCCCTTCAGGAATCGTTACCTGGAACGTCAATCGACAGCTTGACATTCCTCCGTTCTTCAAATGAAATCACATTTCCGAATACAGCTCTCCTTTTAGCGGTCTGCGTTTCTATATGAATCGAATGGGCAACCGGACGCAGACGAAGATTCGTAATGGGGCACAATCGTCAGCCTTGTCTCCAATGTGCCTTGGTACCCTAACGTATAGAGAGACCCTCCCTTACCGAGGTGTACGATCCTATCTCAAGCGTTGAGGGAAATATTCAAGCCTGAATCTACTGCGAGAGCTCTTCAAGATGCGCTAATCGGAGGTCTACTCAGTCTTCGATCGCTCCGCTGGTGTTCCCTTTGCCATCCGTTTCCCATCACCTTGAAATGTATGGATGCTGCTGGGGAAATTGTCGTTGGGAAATTCGATCCACCAAACGATGCGCCATGCATCGTAAAAATACTTCCAGCGCTTTCAAGGGATGCAGGCTGAGATTATCTTGAAGAGAAGCGGGAGGGTTTACATCTCACGAAAGCGATGAGGAAGAGAGAAAACAGTGCCGAAGTATAAACTGTCGTCACGATCTCAAGAGCATCCAGGGGCTTATATTTCCAATAGGAGGTACCCGGCCAAAGTCATTTACAGGCGTTAACTCGATTTTGGAGTGGTGCTGGTGGACCGAGATCTACCGAGACAATAATTGCATCTGCATTCCCAGGTCTAAGATATCCGCAATCCCTTTTTAAATAATTGCCAGTATAGTTAACACCATACCGACTTTACCGGGAGATAGCGCTTTCCTCGCTTCAAGCTACGTGTAGAGGCCGCCGATCAAGGTGAGGGAGCGATGATCTCTATCGACGAATTTTCTCTTGGACAGGCTATCCCCGAATTCAAGACGCCACGTCTATCACGAAAAACCTAGGGTTTCCCTATTAAGGGTTGGTAGATACCGCGTCGGATAAGAGGATACCTCAATCAGAACGGTCCAATTGGGAATGGCGGATCTTATCAACAAGTCGGCTGCATTAAAATTGTTGTCGCTGCTAGTATAGATGATACACATGGTTTGCCGGCGCAGAGAGCAAAATCTTTGTGTATAGGAAGCCACGCACAAAGCCAATTTTAGGTAGTCACGATCTTGTTTCGACCGGAACAAAATTTCTCATATCCTTTAAAACCATGAAGTGGGCAAGTTCTCGGTAGACTTATCAGGAATCCAAACTTTCGAAGCGTCGTCTCTTATTTACGGATACTCAGGTCGTGCTTGTTTGCAAATCATTAACTTACGAAATTCTGCCTTGGTTGCCCGATACGACTCCAGAGCCCTCTACGAACCATGAGCGCGATCCGGATGGTTAGCTTTCACTCCTCTACATAGAAGGCGCTTACATCTAGCAATCTCTGACTTATGAATAAGATACCCCGCATGCCTTCAGGGGGATTCTGAATCACTTCCATAGCGTTTTGGACCTACTAGGGAATCGTTCAGTGTGTCCAACCGTTAGTTACGGAGCCTTTTGGAGGTTGTATAGTACAGTTACGGAAGAGTCGGCTGTTACTAACTAACTGTACGGGAGAGATGACGTCGGTGTACGGTTCGGATACAGTAACTGAAGTATTATGAAGTAATTGCGCTAAAGCTAAAGACTATACCTAATTAGGAAGTTATAATACCCCTTATAAGATCTACAGTTGTTAATCTTACTAGTAACAGCAATGTTATGTAACTAATTCCTCTATTATTAACGCTAATAGTTAATTCCTCCTTATTATAATAGTCTTCTTAGCCTATAAGAAGCACTGCTCGCACTCA